ATCCGCTACCATGATCGCTGATCGTTTACAAATAGTCTGTGATTAGTCAGCCAGATCCGTGCTATAGATGGGATAAGCGGACACTGACACTGTTCTACCTAACATGATAGCCCCCACCCCTCCCGATAGTGAGGCTCAGTGAGAGGACCGAGTGGTACTCAGCTAAGCATGTACAGGTCGCCTTGTGAAGTCCTGTGGATTCGTGTGACCGAAGTAACTTACTTGCACCATTTCGCAGCTTCACAGTAGCGAACGGCGCCTAGCAGACGTATACATTCATTTACTAGATAATATTTTATCTGTGTGAGGCTCTAGTTCCCATATCGATATCGACTTTCAGAACACATGCGATCCACAAATTGAGTCGTCGTTCATACCACGATTCGTACTCGTCTTTCTCCTCATTCTACGGCTACTACCCATTGTCGTCTGCGCCTTGTTACTGGCTAAACGCACTCCCTTGAGTGAATCGTTTGCTGTGCTCATCGAGAAGTTGAGTCCAGTGAGGAAGAAGACCAGGTAAGAAAGAGTCGTCGGTAAAAGTATGACTGGCGCTCTTGGGGGCGAGGGGCCTCTTCAGGTTTCCTACAACACCTGCTAATTGCTTACAGTTATCGTACTCGGCAAGCAATAGGGCGTGACACGGGGCGTAGAATGAAGCCCTTTCCACCAATGGTTGTTGGCTCAGGATAACGTGAATCTGTGGAAAAGGTTGCCACGGCTGCGCTACAATCCACGCCTTCCCCGTCAATCTCTATTCTTTCAGAGGTAATGAGGTTTGCGAGCGGCGAATGGAACATAGAAACCTTTCTTCACCTATCATAGGCATAAGGCACGATGATTTGGTACTCGGTTCATAATGGCAGGTGGGGTGCTATATAGTGGGAAATGGCGAAAAGGTGCAGAGAAGTGATCAAAATCTTGCAAAATCCTTTGTTCTATACGACTCAGAAAGCAATTTCGGACGAGTTCCCCGTTGGCATCGTGCCAGTTACCGCTACGGTAGATACGGCTGCATGTATACATATACTCATATATCCATGCAGCACCGCAGCCACTTCATATCACCCCTGTGCTTCATACTGTACTTCGCAAATGAAGCGATACGAGCATCAGCATCGTCGGACCTTTGTGGGAGGGCGTTCGCCCTGTATGTAGCAGCCTGATAGGGCGCTATAAAGACACCTTTCCATAGAGAGGGCGGCAGGCCGCTTGACCAGGGGTGTCGAATCCTATCCTGCAGGCGTATTACAGGTCTTGGGGATTCATCGTGCCACTTGCCTTAGATAACGCTCGAAAGACGCTGCTCCATAGTTTCGTTACCTGCAGATGCTGGAGTATGTCAGGAGGGGCTAAATTTGGCGGGACGCCGACCGTTTCTCACCATTTGATGTCACTTGTAGGGTCAAACAGTTGGTGGAGAACTGGCTGGCGCGACGACCAATCCAGTCCACCTGACAAGGGCCAACTCCCGCAACGAACAAGACTCTCAGTCCTCAAATCTGCACCGGAGTCACAAATCCCATACTAACTATACCGTAAAATCGTATATTATATTGCAGATTGTATCTGAAAAAGGATCATTACAGTTCTGTGAATGTCGAGAAAAAATTGGCTCCACAATTGGCAAATCCGCCACGGTGAGTTGAATGTGTGCCTCTGCTTATCTAACCCGTCAAGGATAACTCCAGGCTGGAATAGTCTTGGAACCGTATAGCCCATGAATGGGAAACGTAATTTGCCACAGTGCTAGCGAAGTTCAAGGATCCTCTGCTACATCTGTTTTGTTTCCTTGCCGAACTTTCGATCGATAAATGAGTATAAAAACAGAGTAATGGAATGCAAAATCAGTGCATTGACGATTTAGTGCTGGTGGAACTCCATTACCTCCAATTCCGTCACCTACGCATATCGATCACAGCATTAGGTAACCCTACATGTGGCTCAGTAAGAGCCATAAATCTCTAAAACCTTTGCTTCTTCTAACTAACGTTCCTTTAACACGCTCGTGCGATCGTCGTGTCAATATACACCGCAACCCGCGCAAATTAGCCGCCCGCCGCCACGGCGAATTTGCGAGGCGCGTCTTCGGAATCGGGCAACTCGTCCAAACCACTGAACCACTAATTTTCGTAATTTACGGCCTGTATGAAGCCTAAAACGTTGGCCTTGTTGGTCGTGACAAAGAGCCTACTGATCGGAGTGGGGCATCCAGTATTTCAGTGATTCGGACGAGATGGCCTATGTGGAGGACGCCATGCATGAATGGCGCAGTTCGGCGACGGGAGGGGGGGGCACTTTGCACTTTCATTGCTTCACAAGTTTCGGTTTAGAAGTTTTTTGTGTCACGCTTTCATGGGATGCGGTCTTTTAGCACAATCGCTTTGCCATAACAGGCCATGTAACACGTTCTCCAGATCAGACAACTCGTCCGGATACTGATCTGCTAGATACACCTAACCGACTGAACCTCAACCGGGCGTCTTCTAATCATCAGCTGGGAGAATTCAGTGGTTTAGTGATCTGGACGTGTTCTCTGTACGATGCATGCTATGACTTCGTGCGTTAATAGCAACGTGACCGTGCTAACCGACATACAGTCCTGTTCGCCGCGGATGCCGAGACGTGTCAGGGGGGCTGGATTTAGCGCGGTGCTGACCCCATCTCCACCAATTGTTGTAGCTTGCTCGCTTCAACAACTGGTGGAGATGGGGTCGACGCTGCGCCAAATCCTGAAACGCTCCAGCATCCGCAGCGAGCAAGACACCCCGCTTTTGTCGCTTTAGAAGCCATCTTGGAGAGTGTTGGTGGAAGGCTTTTAACGCTTACGCTTATTACTGCCTACATTCACAATGTCCTTTGCTTATTAACGCCCAACTAACGTCCAATCGACCATATCACCTTTGAATTGCCTTTCTTTCAGTTATAACAACGCTGCCTATTTTGCCACCTCCGGAGCACTGGGAGTGAGCGGTTCGTCAAGAAGCAGCGACATCTCGCGGTTAGATGCCGCAGAAATGTTCCGGTAAGCAACAGATAGCTCAGTAGCATTCATCCATACTCAACGAATATGGCGTCAGTTTGGCACCATCCTTGAAAGTCATTTCCCGCGACCACAGTTCATAGGTAATACGGTTCAAAAATAGAATTGCCGTGTGTTTGTTGACTTATTGAAGAAGAAGGAAGCACGAAAAGCGCCCGGAATAAGACCCTCTTTATTGCAATTGATCATGATCACCGGACGAGCGTAAGGTGGTCAAGATCAATTGTGAATTGCGAAAGGCGGCGATACACTGATAAGAGACGAGAGAGGCCAGAAAACGACGGGCGAGAGAGCGCAATGGCAGTCTCACAACGACACGGTCACTGGAGGCCGGCATGGGCCTATCGGGCGCAAATGGGCCTAAAACCTGAGCGCCCTGCGTTTTGCTTGCTGTTTTTCAACTTTTAAAGCAGCATAGCCTCTGACGTTGCCTGCTTGACCATCGTGCACGGTTATGAGAACCTAGCCTTAGTTTATCGCGGAACGTGCCTTTAAGTGCAGCCTACCGATGTATTAGGTTGGCGGGAAAGTTCTGTCACTCTTTTCCGAACTCAAATTACTTGCCCATTACCAAGAGTGGTAACCGGTAATGTAAGCTCTTATACAACAAGGAGTGGTCTCTCTGTTAGTACCACTCGCTTGCCTCTTGCTCCTTCTTCTGCAATATGCACAAGGATTTTATCCGCTACCATCAGCCCCGACCCATCCAACAACTTCCACAAACTATTTCACCACCACCCTGACGCCAGCGTGTTAGCTGCAGATGCCAAATTGATGGAGCTGAATAAGCACGATGCCCCCAATCATCGAGCAACCTTACCACGACAGTGACGCTTCAAGGCGGGAGCCTACAGTTTTGATGACGAAGTGAGGTTTGGGTTACCTGCAAACTCAGCTTGAGGGAGCTATGGGTCGGGAAACTGCTGGATGAAGAAGCTGCTTCCTTGGTCAAGGCGTACGCAAAGCAGCTACGAGATCTAAGGCGTATCGTGGATCAGAGGGAAAAATTTGTCCGCACAGCCGGCCCTCACCAAGATAGTGCAACGTACTTGGTCCAAAAAAGTTCGAGCCGTACCTCATGCAATGGAGCTTGATCTCTCTCCCCTTGCAATTGTGTAGCACAGACATCGCCCCTTCTAATAGCAAGTTGCCTTCCGTAATCGATCGTTATGCGGACGAGAAAACCTCCATAACCCAAGTTCAAGTCGAGGTTGAGATGGTGTCCAACTTTGCGTCGTGTCTCCCTGCATAGTGAAGCGATGGCATCCATGAGGTGCTCAAACAGTGGCAAGGACCCCGCAGTAACATTGCTGTACAATTTTGATCTTACACTCCTCTCTATAAAAAGAAAGCCTAGTTTGAAAAAATGTGACAGAACTTTCCCGCCAACCTAATAAAAACAAAGGAGGAAAGCGACGTTGTGCGTCGTTGGGAAGGGACGGTGTACGCTTGTGCGTACGGGTGGGGCCGGATCCATCTTTCGCCTCATCAGCACACCGATTTTTTGCTATACGGTAAAGAAAAAGGAGTGTCAGTGGGAGGAAAGTATTCTTCGCTTCAGACACTGGGAGTTTTGGGGGCTAGCTTTGGCGCTGCGCCAGCTTCTTCTAAACCAATTGTGGTCGTCTGCCAGCTTCTTCAACTGATGGAGAACAAGCTAGCGCTGCCCTAACCCGGCCTCCCTCTAACAGCCCCAGCATCTGAAACGAGCGAGACTACATTTATTTGGGACAAACCCATCCGAGAAAACCTAACAAAAGCAAGCACCAGCTGATTCGACCATAGTTGACACATTACCATATACAAAGCTCGTTACTGTGAGCGCGAGAAATTTTCATTGCTCCAACTTTAAAGTAACCTCCAGCTTAGACCATTACCAACCGAACTGTTCGCTATCCACTCATTTTCCACGCATTACGTCGCTGTTTTGTACCCATGTGATGCCAGCAGACGCTGGCGACAAGTTCGCCTAGTATAGACACAAGCATAGTCATCGGCAGCGGATAATTGACTGATCTCATCTTATTGCAGGCCGCCTCATCATGCTAGTGGAAGCATTCAGTCGGAAGTCTGAACGAGCCACACACGATCCATCTCGCTCAGCGACTTTGCAATGATGATCTTCAAACGTTTTCTAATTTCTGTTTTTATGTGATTTGCTTGCCTCGTTTCTTCTTTGTTCTGTAGACTTTAAATAAAACTATTGTGTACTGTTGGTGTAATGATGGAAGTGCAATGTCCTTGGTAATACAGGAAGAAAATAAAGAAGGCTCAACTCTGGACAAATTAGCTTTACCTTCAAATGTAACAGTTTTGCCCCCTAACAGTAGGTTTTGAGGGGCAATGGGTTGAAGGAATGTCCGCAAAACTGGGCTTTGGAATTGGAAGGGGTCGTACTTGAAGCTTTTGGGTGAGGGAAGAGGTGGATCGTGCTGAACGAATGGTTTCCTCCACGGTATGGTTTCCAATGTTTCGGGAAGGTGGTGGTAAGGATTCAAAGCTAGTAAGACGAAATTTACGCTTCTAGAGCCTATAGAGACGAATTTAGTGACAAATTCGGCGAATTTCATTTCGGAACATGAATTCTGTGACCACCCTTTCCCACTTGCTTCCTACGCTTGTCACAGGGAGACAGATCCCCAAATCCAAAAGTAAATACAGATAGGAAGAATGGGTTCTAGCCGGCACGACAAGCAATATTCTGTAGTCCTGTCCGCTGCGGATAAAGGGGCGTGTCTGCGAGGCTGGGCTTAGCCCGCCACCACCCCGTTCTCCACTAGCTATTGAAGCAGGGCAAGCGACAACAATTAGTGGGAAATGACTAATACGGGTGATAAGATATAGCCTTAACACTTGGGAAAAAAGCAAAAAAAACGGGTTGGCGCCACTCCAAACCCATCCATCTCCCCTCCTTTACGGGCCCCATCATCAGCAGCGCGCAAGACTTTACAATAGCAAGTTAGGTCTGTCTCTATTCCTCTATGCCTAAAATATAAATAATTGGAAATGAAAATTAATGTGCTATGTTAAAAAATCGAATAAGTGAGGAATATTGAAGGGGGTCGAAAACGAAGGTATAGTTCAGCTTCCGTTTTTATAAGGCTCCTACAATGAGCCGAAATGAGGCTGATCCTAGACCTCGTCCACACCTTCGTTTCGGCACTAAGTGTCCTTGTAGACCATAGATTGCTTGAGCAGCTGTGCAGTTGACCGATAGTGGCCTGTTTGTCCAGCACCCACTATCTTATCTCCAATTCAAAATATCGATTTGTTTCTGGCCTGGACAAGAACAGTAGTCCATCTGCTACTCTTTTACTAATTTGTTCAGACGATTTTAGTACAAAAGATACAGACTTCGCCGTTGATCAATTCCTTTTTGGGGTGCGGCACGCATTCTTTCCATCCAGAATCGCAGAGGCTATTCGAAAGCTATATAAGCCCTTTCCGGATGCCAGTCTATGTACGAGTCAGTGCTTTCATTCTCCGCAATGAACCTGGTACCAGTTTAGCGCCCCCGGACGCTAGAAGACCTGGACGACCTGGACGAGAGCTGATCCGGAATTTGATCCCCGGACCACGCGCGTGGTAAGCGTGCCACTTGCCACTACACGTTACCACCGTTATATTCGTACAGAATTTTACGGACGTCTCTGAAAATACGTCACTTTTATGTGAGCTTGTCTTGAGCACAATCTCCAAAGGATTAAGACCTCATCAGAGCATGAACAAGGCCTAAGAAAACCAGTTTCCGAGCTGTTCTATATTTGTTCAAAACGTCGATTACAGAGTAGCTTCTGACCTTCAAGAAAAGTTGGCCCAACCAACAATAATCATATTGGAGGATCTTCTAAGGTGTGAGTTCTAGAATAAAATCAGCTGATTGGAATCCAAAAAAATGCAAGCTCACAATGTACAAAACACCTCCAATCTACGAGATTCTGAAGAGAACTAGAATGCGTGGCGTACCTTGTAAAAGAAATCAGTTCTCTTCTATCCTAATAACTCCCATGACGATTTTTAGAATGCTCTATGTGACGCGATTTGCCCAGTTCCCATACTTCTTCAAATTGACCACACTGGTAAGCACATTCCATAGAGCGCTATCTTCACTATTTATCGCAGAATTTTTCAGTTCTTCACGCTTGTTACGCTAGCTTCCCTGATGGGAACGCCTACGTTACCTGGAAGTAAGTCCGACCTTTTTCACTTATTTTGTTTTTTGCAACTGCCCTTGGATATTTCGAAAAGTGGGCCGGTGTTTCGGAACCTAAAATAAGAATTACTTGGGTAGATGGGATAAGGAAATTGGGAGAAGGACGGTCTCACGTAGAGCTTGAAATTCTAAGTCTTACTTGCCAGAGCTCACAATCTCCTATGGTCTTGAAAGCACAGCCCGTGATTATTAAAGGCAGCTTGGCACGATAAATCCCCCAAGACGAGTAGGATTAATACGCCTGGCAGGACGGAATTCCGCGACCCTGAGCAGGCGCTGCATAATGCCTTTTCCAAGGGAGGTGCCCTTATAAGGGCCCTATCAAGCCACAACATTACGACCCAAACGCCCGCCACGCCCGCCCGCCCACAAATGGACGACCGTTCCTGACGCTCTAATCGATTAATTATGAAGCGAAGGAATTGGTATGAAGCGGCCGTGATGCTGCATGGATATATGCATATGCAGCCGTACCTTCGGTAGCGGTTATTGGCAAGATGCCTGCAAACTCGTCCAAAATTGATTTCTAACACATTGAGAACGGAGGCTCTTTCTTCGCAGGATTTTGACCGTTTCACTCCGTTCTTTCGCCATTTCCCCACTATATAGCGCCCTACTAGCATTTTAGGCCAAGCACAAATCATCGTGCCAACTGCCTTTAAGTGGACATGGTCAGGCCCAACACTGTACGTCTCATGGCGCGCTCCTCTTTTCTACCCTCTAGGAAGTAGAAGGCACACTCGCAGGGTCGAATCTACCCCTACAATCAACTT